AGTTAACAAAGTTAGCATTCATGGGTCATTGAATTCCATTCCAAGTGTCTGAATGATCAACGAGCGTAGTCTCGTAACCTGAAGGTCCCAGGTTCGATCCCTATTGGAGTCACGGGGTCGCACTGATGAAGAATCTCGAAGTAGGCCGAAACAACTATCCATTACTCCCTGGTTTTCAACGGTCTCCCTAACTGATGTTGGTTCGTGACGACAATTCAATAGATGAAAATCTTTTCCCTAAATGTGAATTTAGAATTTCAAATAATTTTCAACATCCATAGTGAAATTTTGTGAACTGATTTTGTCAAAGTGATGTAGAAAAACAAAATCGGAAAAATGCACTTTTTATATACTTGTACAAAAATTATCGAAATCGACAACTTATCAGTGGAAAACAATGAATCATCTTCAGAAGAAAAACAAACGAACAAACAACTGACGCTCAGCCTGGATTTACACATACACATACATCCACTCGTCAAAACAACACAGAATATTTCTGATATCAGTATTGCTTTAAATTTTTGACAATCTGCACTTGACAAATTACAACTCCGTAAATCAAGACAACACAAGTTGCCTGAGAACGCATTTCAAAGAAGAAGGAGAAAGAATACAACTAGATGAAAAGTAGTACGTGAATTTTTTGACTAAGAAGAAAAAATTGCACAGCAAACAGTAAATAATTTGATATACAGAACAGTGATTTAAGAGACTCGGGTTTCTCATAGACTGTCTTAATCATGAGAAATAGACAAATCAGACTTGAAATCTGATCTATAATGCAGTGGAGTTGTGTTCTCATGGTTTCCACTGGCGAAAATAATTTCATACACTATTATATCCATTCAGATTCTTGAGCCTATGTATACCATAGGTTTTGAGTTAGGGTTTTTCTTTAACTCCCCTAAGTAGACCAGCATGTCCACTAGCCTGGTTGTAAGCTGCAAACGTGCACATTCGCCGTTTCACTTTTGTGAGGAACCCCCTCCCCACCGCTGCTAGTGATGCTAGCGGATTGTCCATAATGTACTAGCTGGAATAGGACTCAGGTTCTTGACTAACTAATTGAACCAATATCTTCAAGTATTGGTTTGTAGGAATTCGATTGATTGGTTACAAGATTCCATCGCAAACTGACATCGGTTAGAGAACCATTGGAAAACCTGGGAGTACTGGACAGCTGTTTCGTCCTAATTCGGGACTCTTCATCGGTATGCACCCACCACCAGGGTTCGGACCTTCTGGTTGCAAGGCGAGCTCATAAACTATAAAGCGACTGGGAACCGATCCAACGGCCAGCCCATGAATTCCAACTTCTGCCAATTCACCACATAGTATGACCACTAGCCAATGTCTTCACCTTGATGATGAGTGCCAACTAGCAAGAAACCTAGGTCAAGCAAGGCTTTCTGCCGATTTCATCCAACCATCTAAAACCAATAATTTACAGTTCACGGTGATGGTGAGCCACTTAGAATGGTGGCCACAATGCAAACTTGACTAATAGAATTCAGTCTGCACCGAACGAAGGACCAGACACACTGCACTAGTTACTGGTTAGTGTCCAATCAATGGTGCTATGCAATTCCATTCACTTCATGGAGTCAAACTTAATGATGATTTTAAAATCATGATATTCCGTAACTTAATTTGTGACAAAATTAGACTTCACAATAACTTTTGGCATTGCGCATATGACTTTCACTATTACAAAAAATTTTGTATATCTCAATGAATGAAAATTAAAACGATTGCTTTTGCTGGTGTTTGGCTATATCATGCTAATAGCTTTATCAAAGTAATGGTGAAACATAATTTATAAAATCCCAGCTTATATATGATAATTCAGTGATCTGTGGAGTGGGTTTTACTCACTTCTGCAAAAAAATTTCAACAATTAATTGAAGACTTACGCTAGTGTCAATTTACACCGCTTTATTGGTTGCAGTTCGAGTAGCTTTTGTACCTGACAGACAACAAAGCATCCGTTCTATAAAAAGCGCAATAATCGAACACTTTGTAGACAGCGGCCAGTCTATCTCAACAAACTCCCCCTTCAGGGTGACCTACAAAGTAAAATAGTAACCTGCCTAAGACAACCCGCTTTAACCGCCTTTGAACTGCTGAAGCCCTAGCCGTCCAGATGGCGAAACCGGAAGTGTACACAGAAAAAAATATCCTTCATTTCTACTATCATGGTAAGGACCCTACTATTTTCAGCCTAATTGTTATAGTTATTTCTCCAACGCTTTCTGATATCCCTCCTCCCGAACTCTTAGGTAAAGTAGAAGGGTTTCCTTCGCTTCTATGTGTACTGTGATTACAACTCACTAAATTACTCATCTCATCACTTAATTCAATCACTCTTATTCCACTTTTCATATGTATTGGTTAATATTAGCAATTATTCTTATGATAATTCATCTTTTTTTACTATTCACTTTTATGGGAAAAAAGTTGTACACCATTCCGATTGTACAACGAAGAAGGAAAATGAATTCGCCGAGAAAAGACTCTCCTCTGAACTACTTGTCTTGTTTTTATTAAAGCTATTAGCATTAAACAGGGAAACCTCAGTAAGAAGAAAACAATATTCAACTTGAAGTAATTTAGTGGATGGTCACTAAATGTGGAATCCACGATGCGCGTTTCATCCTTTTTAGGCCTCGTCATCTAGACGCACCTGTATTTCCCAGTGAGTGATGGTGTTCCAGTACCACCATCATAACGTCTCGGCGTTTGAAACGAAGAGTACTGGGATTCGAGTCTCTGATGGAGAATCATCAACCACTGTGGGACTCCAGGTATATTCAGCTGCTGATGAGTCCCAAATAGGGCGCAATTTGCATCCTGGATTCCACTGCTAGTCACCATCCACAAAATTACTTGAATATATGGTCTAGGCTTTTGTTTAGATTAAACAACTGGAAGGAGAGAGAGCTATATTTTACTCATCCGCAATACCCACCCATAGGGGTTCAGACCCAAGATCTCGCAGTAACAAATCAAGTTCGTAGACCATCCAACCACTGCGACCTGATCAAGTGGTTCATGAATTCCGACTTCTACCGATGACATTGGCAGCAAGGTGGCGCTAAAATCACAAATTGGTCGAAGTTGGAATTCATGGGCCATCAAGTCAGGTCTTAGTAGCTGAATGACTTAAAAGCTTGACTTGTAGCCGGATGGTCCTGGGGAAGTGCTTCTTGCTGAAGAATCCCACACTGGTACAAAACAGCTTTCCAGTGTTTCCTAGCTTCCTGATGCTCCTCTAACTGACGTCAACTCGTGATCGAACTTGGAATAAATCAAGGACTAGAATCCCATTCCAGCTACTTCATCCTGGGTAATCAGATAGTATCAGTCCTCACAATAAATACGGCTGATAGCGAGGCATATGAAAAATCTCGTCCAGATAACTGAGTTGATTAACCGTAACTGAACAATCTGTTTAAATTCCTCAGTGTGTATAAAGAAAGAAAAGTTTGATCCCGGTTAGTCTAAGTACATCTACTCATTCGAATTACAAAAATCACTAGGTGTTTTATTAAAATTAATAGTTGAAGACAAATACAACATTATCAGTTTGCTAATCTACTCATCAAAAACAAATAGATTTAATGCAGTACAATCTAAAACCTCAGTTTTCCACACTATAACAAATTCATATCAAGAAGAAATCTGTCCTAATAATAATAATATTTTATACGAAATCCGAAAGAATGATAGTCATAGACATCAGATTTCTCAAGCAAACAAAAGTTCATACATTATTTAATTTAATTTTCGATTATCATACATAGTTACATCATCTGCTAAAAATATTTGATAGAAGTCAGTATAACATTCATATTTCCTTAATTTTTATGCTTTTGTGTAATGAGAGCAGTCTAGTTTCATTTGGGATATAATACATATACATTAGCTAACTGCCGGGGATAATTACTGTAAAATGGGGGAGCCATAATTAACTTACTGTAATATGAAACTTCAGACAGAAATGAGACATGTATGATCATAGTAGAGTGCAGAATTACTATTCAGGAAGATAAAAGTGATAATCTTTTCATAAAACCCCATATAATATTTAGGATTGAACCATGCAAAACGTCACATCACTAAGACGAGAAAGAATCAGGCCTACATCAGACTTGCAGTGATTGATTCTGAGCTAGATCATCGGAAAAAATTAGAAAGTTCCAAGTTTGACCACAGACGTGAATCAGTTAGAGAACCATTAAAAACCAATTATCCATGAATGCTAACTCCCACCAATTCGTGATCTTCGCGCGACCATCAACCAACGTCATCGGCGAAAATTTGTCCTTACTGCTGACTGGGTAGACCCCACTGGTCACGACTTCTCAATAGGACTTCAGGCACCTCCTTCATGTAAACAGTCACTGGCGAGCGTTAGAATAATTGGAAACCAGGAAGTATTGGACAGCTGTTTTTCCGTAGTGTCTAGGACAGTACGTCGTCTACAGTACGCGCCCACCGGGGTTCGATGCTGATATTAATTCGTGGTCAAACTTGAGACAAATCAAATTTCTACAAGTTAACTCTTGGAAATTGGTAAGCCATAAATTCCTTGTATGGTTAGTAGTTTCAGTTGTAGACACCACATATTCTTCACATTGTGTTCAGTCTTCATCAAAAAATATTAACTACCTCGTTGATAGATAAACAGAATCATCAAAAAATTGTCAAAAAACCTAAAAATGACAGGTCGAACTACGCGAAGGTCTTAAAAGCTCAATGTAATAGGAAAAGCTGGTATTTCCCTCCATGTTTGAATGAAACCTGCCTTCAGTTGATTAGAAAGCGACTGTATGTACAAAACCGATACACAACAGACCAAGCTTTATCTGTGTACACAAGTGTTTCATTAAAAGAACTAGGAGACATAAAATGGTTCAAAAATAATAATCTTTGATATGTCATAACAAAAAGCCACTTAAAAACCCCTTCTCATATAAGTGAATCTGTTAGCTAACCTGTAGACAACAAATGGAATATCCTATCGTTGTGTATAAAAATTTAACTCCACTATGTTAAAAGATCCATAACCACGACAACAGTAGTAAGGAAATAATTTCTGCAGTAAATAGTCTAAGCATGAATAGAATAAAACTAAACAACTGACCAATCAGAAGCATAAACGACGTAGAGGGCAACTCTAATAAATCGATTGTTCATTTATGTACAATTATTAGCCAATCAGAGAGTAGATATATTAACCAATGATAAAATATTCAGCTGACTCAGCATATCACACATGCAGGCCAAACGACCTTCAGTCAAACGGAATGTCTTTTTAAAGCCCATAACCTCACCCATGTCTAGGCAGAAACTTTTTAAGGTCATATTCCACACAAAGAAGGTCAACATAACAAACACTAAAAATCATTGTCACGATGTAGACTTAGAGTGTTGTCACTTCACAATTAAAAGAAATCAGTGTTTCTGCCCAGTTTAATTGGTGTTTCTTCGGGCAAGTAGCATGTGACACGAGACTAATGAAAAGTAGTTCGTTAATAAATGTAGTAGAAACGCTTGAGACGTTGCCACTGTACTCCACCATAATATCGTTTCGAGTCTAAATAAAGGTGTAAAGTTTGATCGATCCTCCTTTCCAGACTACACTGGTGCTTTTGACTTCATTCCCGTAGCACTTTTCCTAAGCAAGCTGAATTCAGCATGCACTCAGATCTGGGTCATAAGATGGTTGTATCCCTATTTTTCAGGTTGGAAACAATATAGTGTTCTAAAGGAGAAGCACTGCACTTCTCTGCTTACGGAAGCTGGTGTACTTTCTCCAGGATCTGAAAATTTCTATCTCAGTCGTTTCTGCATTGGATCGTTATGATATGAGTAATTCTCAATGTGAGGTTGACTATTGGTCACACTCATATGGTTTTCAACTAAATCCCTCTAAATTTCATACTGGTGATTTTAGTTTCAGACACGTACAAGACATGCGTGGACTGATATCGATGGCACTGTGATAGGGAGTAAATCGAATTTCTCCTATTTTGGCATCGGTTTCTTTTCGGACATATGTTGGTCATCTTATATGTTGTCGATTTCTTTATTGTCTTCACTTATTCTTCCCTGGGCTTCCCAGGAAAGAATGTTATATTACGCAGAACTTTGAAGGCTGTGAACAGGGTTAGTGGTAAACCTTTGATTCAACTAACTGACATTGTTGTCGATAAGCATTTTCACTATAAGGATAAAACTTGGGCACAGTGGAAGAGAATAGCTCCATTTTGAATAAAATTTTAATTTTTATTCATAATGGAGGCATTTTCACTCTTGCAAGCAGTTAGCTATCTTGTCTGATACCGAACATCCTCTATATTCGAAATTTTCTCCTTCTATCTCTTCGAGTTAAAGGAGAAGGAATTTCATAAGAAGTTATGCTCGTAGGGCAAAATATAAAAATTCAACTGTACCGCATTTCAAAATATTAAATATTCAAGGATTTTGTTTAATTGCATGGAGGATTTCATCATGAGCTGACATCAGTTAGAGAACCACTGGAAAACCTGGGAGTACTGGACAGCTGTTTCGTCCTAGTTTGGGACTCTTCATCAGTACGCGCCCATATTAAAATTGAGAACAAATTTAAGCGAACATTGTTTTCAATTAGATCTCATCAGACTTAACTCTAATATACATAACTCTACAAATAAAAATTCAAATAGAAACCAATCATGGTGTTTTGTCCATAGGATAAGAAGATGGTGAATACAAATTGTTCAATTAGTCATAATATAATAATAATAATGATAATAATAATAATGGTTCTATCAATAATAAGGACGAAAAAGGCAATCTGTGATAACACGAATAACGAAAGACAGCATGATTCAACAAACAAATGTTCAGGTAGAAGTAGTCCATAAAGGCTTCACATTCTCAGTTGTTATGATATTAGCTGCATAAAAAGTCTTTTTATCAGCAGTGTTCAATCTTTATTTATTTATCAAACTGCTATAATGCCCCATATAGGGTAGCTTGATGTACACGTCTTTCTTAGGGGCGAGTTGGAGAGTGAGTTTTGGTGTTCTGACTACTTTGTATCGACTTTGTATCTCCTGATGAACTTATCTGGATAATTGTTATGAATCAAAGTTTGTGTCAACTTTCTTTCTTCTTCATCAAGTGTGCCTTCAGTGCATATGCGTTGGATTCTACTGAAGAGGCACCTTACTCAGGCTCTTTTGTACTGAACAGGACAGAAACTGTGGTAATTAAAGTACTGTCCTGTTCAGGTAGGTTTTCTATAAATAGATCGTTTATTTGCTCATCAAGTCGTTGACTAAGCAATATGTCTAGGAAAGATAAACAATTGTCTTCCTCTTCTATAGACAGACGTAAGTGATTTGCTATTTCAAATATATTCCTATGACAAGTCCGTGTGTGTGATGAAATTGTTCGAAATGTTTTGCGCAAATACTATATTACACCTTTCAGATAAATTAGGTCTTCTTATTGCTTTATCCAAATTATTATTATTATTATTATTTTAATCACTTCGAATCATCAAAACATATAACTGTTACATAACATGTGCTGTTCATTTTTTTTTCTGAACCCAGTTAACACCTCCGATCCCCCTTGTTGACTCCAAAATATACTTGAGACTCTTTTATGTAAACCACGAAGCTTCAACTCTTTGTGTGTTTAATTAATAAAAAATAATTATGGCTACCATCTTCTAACTAAATGATTATGTGAAAAATTTTGCATATTGATATCATAACTAGTTTAGGTTATATGCAGTTGACAAGATCAAATGATGCGAATGATTTTGAATAAAGAAAGAATGAACATATTTGCGGACAGGATAATGTAAGCTCGTTTTATTTTGTAGATTCTCCTCAGCTGCCTTCATCCTTTATAAATCAATTATAATATATTACAGAATTTCTGAACATACTCTTTACAATGACTTCAAGTTATAGATAGTAAGTATAAGCAAAAATAATCTCAAAGATGATGTAAGTAGACAATTATTTAGTGTTAAAAGAGTAAGTATTTGGATATGATAGAGAGGATTTGTAGCTCAGGTGGATGATTTTGATGTGGCTGTGTTCTCTGAGCTAGATAGTTTATTTTCTATAGTTTGGTTTGTAAGGGTTAGTTATCTTTCTACGAGTTGATCACGGACTGATATCAGTTAGAGAAACATTGAAAACCAGCACTGGAGTAATGGACAGCTGTTTCAGCCTAGTGCTTGGGACTCATCGGCATTACTCATACACTGGGTTTCGAACCCAGGACTTTCCTGTTACCATTCAGCCACTGGGACCCGATTAAATGGCTCATGAATACTGACTTCTACCAATTCGTAATTTGGCGCGACCCCAACAGTTATCGTTGGTAGGACATCCATCCACACACATTTGATATGTGGATGGACCTCACTGGTCACGACTTCTCACTAGAATTCCAGGAAACTTCATCCTGTAGCAAGTCACTCGCTAGCAAGCATCAGATTAATTTTCTATAGTTTGATTTGTTAGAATTCATGAGCCATTGAATCGCGTCCCAGTGACTGAATGGTATTGAGCTTGCCTTGTAACAGGAAGGTCCTGGGTTCGAATCCCAGTGGGTGCGTACTGCCGATGATTCCCAAACTAGGATGAAACAGCTGTCCAATACTCCCTGGTTTTCAATGGTTCTCTAACTGATATCAGTCTGTGATCATTTCGTAAAAAGATAGTTTATTTGCGAAGCTTTCATTGCCCTACTAGACAACATCTTCAGCACAAACTTCAACTTGAAGTGAGCTTTTGGATTTCTCCTGGTCACCAGGAGAGATGACTAATAAACTCTTCGAGAAATCTAAAAGCTCACCTCAAATTGAAGTATGCGCTGTAGATGTTGCCTAGAAGGGCAATGAGAGCTTCGTGAGTAACTATTTGTATAGTAATTAGACAAAATCAAGATTGAGTGGAATGTTATGCAACAGAACAAAGCACAAAAGCACACAAACAAAACAATTTTCATGCATTTATTCCCCTTGATGAATTTGAATAAAGCAAGAACAACAGTAGTTTGTGCAGAATAATATGGGTTTTTTTCCCTTCACGTTCCCCAATGGAACATAGGGCTTCAAGCTAGTGGCTTGTAGTTTCTGTAGCAGTGTTTATTTTACAGGATGGGGTTGCTAGACTCATGCCCAACCTTTCCTCTTCACCAGCATTATTCCTGGCTTAGCGAGGTAAAGGAGTGCGTCGGCCGGGTATCGAACCCCGGACCATGTGCATGGTCGGCGAGCGTCCTAACCGCTATGCCACCGACGTAGAACAATATGGTACCATCATTTATTTTGTTGGCTTCTCACCAGCTGTTTACAGCCTAAATACATTATGAGTTTTACATACAGAAAAGTTTTAACATACTTGCAAATTTTACATGTCAGTTGACAGAAAGTTCTCCAGTTAGTGAACAGTGCTCAGAAAATTGAGCTTAAATAGTTTTTACACAGGCAGTTCAAGTTTAAACAAAATAGATGTATGCATACAATAGTAAAAGAGTTACGTAATAAGGACGAAATATACGTTAGATACAGAGTGACTAATAAATTAGGTAACAATGTACTGAGTTCAACTCAAATCATAGAAACAAGAGACAAGCAAAATTACAGATTATAAAAGAGGGTGAAGTTAAAGACAAAGATTACGTAGTCAGATGAGAGAATAAAGGAACCCAGTTACCAGGGCAAGGAAGGACTAATAACTGATTCTTTCTGAACACATAAATCTGGTTTCAAGCGTTTAATAGAAATTGCTTCGGCAAACTTGAGGAGAATGCAGCTCCTTTGTCTATTGATAATTTTAAAGGATTCCTCGATTTCCACCTCATGACCCGTGTCAAGGAGATGTCTGTTAATAGCGCTACTATAAGAGTTTGTTCCCTTGAGACGTAGGCTTTTTGGCACATGTTCAGAAAATCGGAGGTGTGCCCTTCTTTCCGTTCTCCCAATGTAACTACTCCCGCAGATACACGTAAATTTGTATACACAGTTGGAGTTAACATGAGAAGGGTATTTTCAAGAGAAATCTGAATTCCACCCCTTTGTACAATTACTGT